CTTAAGTAGAGTAGGACCTATTTAAGGATGCTCTTCGCTTGTATCCTTATAAGAAGCAGGTCAACGAGTATAACTAAGAGGCAATGCGTAATAATAATACTCCGATCGCACTCGCTAAGGCTAATTATACTAGCGGTAATAATGTAGTTAAAGCTAGCTATAAGAACGGAGGCAATCTCTATTCGCGTCTTCTAGTATGTCTTAGAGCACGTGTAATAGTAACATAGAACCTCTAGACTAAGGGCGGTATTGTTAACGGCAGCTTAGGCACTATACGGGATGTCGTCTAGGAGAATATAGCTAATATAGACGAGGACCCTCTTAATAAATTACCTATTGTCCTTCTCGTTGAACTAGACAAGTATACTAGTAAGACCTTTAACGAGACCTTTAATATAGACGGCTCTTTAGGTATACTACGTCGGGTCGTACTAGTTATTCTAGTACGTCGTAAGTAGCTTTATAACTAACGATAGGATGCTCGCTACTCTCGATTACAGTTTCCGCTTACTATTGCGTACGCTATTACAATATATAAGTTATAGGGCATAATAGTCGATAAAGCGGTACTCGACATTTCTCGAAAGGATTTTATACTAGGTCTTACATATATCGGCGTCTCTAGAGTACGAGGCCCTAGAGATATTATATTTAAAGCCCTATTTAACTTCTATAACCGCTTTAAGAGCGGCAAAGTCCTAGGTACAGTTGTTAGCCGCTACGCTAACTTAGTTCGACGTCGATTATAGCGCTTGCTCCCTAAGGGCGTTGTATTATCTTCTATACCTCTACGTCTAGACGCTAACCCGAAAGACAATTACAAAGGTAATCTTGTAGTATACGCTAAGTAGCAGCGAGAGAAGCTATAAGCGCAGCGAGCTAAGTAGGCTAGCTAAGAAGAGGCTCGTAGGAAGCAACAATTGCTACAATATCTAAAGGATCTTAAAGCGATTAATCGTATAGAGTAGCTTTAAGCTTAACTTTAAGCTAATCCGCGTCTGCTATACGAGATTACTACCTTAGCTTAGCGCTATATACGCGCTGCTCTAGAGGCTTATAATTTCCGCTATCTACTTGCTAAGGGCAGTATTAACGCTAAGCTAGTATAGGGACTTATCGATTACTTCGAGGCTATATACCTATAGTATACTCCTCTACCCGTTTAACTTAGTTAGCTATAACTATAGGTATAGTCGGGCCCTCCTACTCTATCCGACCCTCTACTAGTATATCCTACTAGTATATATCTAGCATATACTCTAGTAGCTACTCCCGCTAAGACGACCGAGTTCTTCGCGCGTATTAATACTAATCGCAAGAAAGCGTAATAGGCTCGCTAGACAATTAACCTTCTAGATACTAAGGATTAGGATCCTACTAACTCTAGTTTACTACTTCTAGAGCGTCTCTTATAGGATTAGTATAACGATACTAATATCCTCGACGCTATCTAGCCTAGCGAGAGTCTTAGCTTTAGAGAATTTGCGTTACGGTTTGCTAACGCTCGTAAAGAATAGTAGGTCGATTAGTAGCGACTTAAGCAGGTTATCCTAACTATTACTAGAATCTCAATTACTTTACGAGGGCAAACCCGCATCCTTATACCGTTATACGATAGGCAGACTTCTAAGATAATAAGATAATTAATAAGTAGGAGGTAATCGATAATTAGGAAGTAATCGATGATTAGGAGGTAATAGATAATGCTAAATAGGCTAGTAATAATTAGGAGATAGCTAATAGATAATTTTCTTTAATACATTGCTATATACTTTCAAGCATTAGAATAAATATGCCGCTTATAGTTGCGATCGCTTGTAGCATGTGTGTAGCTAACAAGCCCGTTTAGCCTAAGTTGCGTAGAGGGTACTAATAGCCGATAGTAACAAGCCTGTTTAGTACGAGTTACATAGAGGGCACTAATTGCGTATTAAAGGCAAGGCCTAATTATTATTCCGCTCGCCTCCGGCTTCGCTCGGCTATCCTAACCTATACCGCGGGTCTATAGATACTTTATTAACTTTGTATCTCTAAACTTAATGCCGCTAAGAAGCATATAAGAATAGCGAGCTTCTAGGCCTTCGTAGAAGATAGTTATAACAACGATAAAGGTAATAATTAGCTAGATATATCTACTAGTTTAATAGACAACGATAAGTTAAATAGTAATTAGCTAAGTAAAGGAAGAGAGCCGATATTTAAGAAGGCGGGAGAACCTATACTAAGCGGCGTAGACGATAAGGGTTTAGTAGTCGTAGAAGGGGATAATAAGGTCGAGGATATAGAGGTAGATAGTAGGATAGGCGGATTATATTATCTAAAGGACGAAGAGATTAACGAGGGTCGATACGAGCTACTAACTAGCACCTCTTACCGGCGGTAGGTTAATTTACCTATAGACCTCTATAGTAATAACTTGTCGTTAATAGACAACGTCTAATATCGCTTCTTCTTACTCTTCTAAACTAATAAGGTTATAAACTGCCTTGTTAAATGCACTAACGAGTATACTAGTAATAAACCGGACTTTAAGAAGGGCGATAAGATCTTCGTTTCTAGCTATTAGTAGAAGCCGGTAGACAAGCTAATAATACGGATCTTCGTAGGTGTTATTATCTATATGTCTGCTATTTAAATAGCCGACAAGTCCGACTACTAGCGTAACGATAGATACTAGCTATTACATCCTATTATTAGTTATATAAGCGAGTAGCGGTTTAAACAGATTAAGGCTGCTTTATAGTGCCGGAATAACGCGCTCTCGTTAAGTAGAAGAGGCTTACCTGCCTAGACCTAGATACTACCGCTTGCTAATATATTGCGTAGCAAATTCCGCGAGGTAGTCGTACCTAGTACTAACGTATCTATCGACGAGAGCATAATCCGGTTTATAGGTAAATCTAGGCATATAATTATAATAAGAGGTAATAGGCATAGATCGATCGGACGTGACCTTCTCCTATAAGAAATCGTCAGCGCAGCGTTTTGTCGGAGTCTTGCGTCTTCACATAATCTCGAGATTGGCCCTCACATGAAGAAGGGACGTCGTTCTCCCGTGGCCGGTACAGATTAAAGTTAAGTTGGTAAAGGCTATTGTGGTGTTCAGAGTGTCGCGCCAACCCGTGCATCCGCCGAAGTGGCATGCCTGGAGGCTTGTATCTCAGAATCGATGTGATATTGGTGTATGGAGAGGCCGTATAAGCCTAGAGTATCAGCTCGCAGTAAATAATGCCTAGATGTACGTAGAGCGCATGCGCTCATAGCTAGAACCAGACCTCCCGAATTCGGGGCACAAACAGGGCTACACGAGGGGATGCAACAGGATCTCTTGCAGCTGGAATGTCCTAGCTCCCTGCTAAGGCTAGCCAGGGCCACTAAGGATCTGCTGTAGAATATACACCACACTACCCAGCTATCTTCGATATCTAAGACCTTCTAGGCAAGCCTTCTTCGGGAATAGCTAGGGGGCATCTTAGAACAGCTAAGAGGCAGCATATACCCTACAGTAAGGCAAAACATTCTTGATATCCCCTCCAGCAGCTTCTCACATATCATTGTCGAGCTCCACCACCACCCGCTGGAGCGCTGGCCGGTCTCTCGCTTCCGAGGCTCGCACATTCGCAACTGAGCTGTGGTTCAAGATGAGGTGTGGCCACGAGTCGACTGGCCAGCGCTGAACGCGATACGCATACTGCGAAGAGTAGATCTTCTCGAGCAGATCTAGACGAACGACGCCCGCCATAGTTCGTAACTTTACTTGCGGCTATCAATGGAGCACGCACTTCTGGATCGTGCGAGAAGACATCGTCTGTCCTGCTTGGATCCAAGACTTCATTCACGCTGAAGCTTCATTGAGCCGAGGATCAGACGAGATGCGGGATTGGGTCTACCACTGACAATGAGAGTCGTCACTCGGACGAAGCGCCGCGCCCCGTATAATCAGGACTGATTACGCGCTAGGGACACGAGAAGGCACATCGTAGAAGATCTCAGCAGCGCTCTGCTTGACGTATTGAGAAGAATGGACGATTCGGGGATGTGAGATGCGTAGTGCTTTTGGAATGGATGGTCTTCCACCAACAGCGACAACGAATCCGACGCACACGATATCGTGGACATAATCGTCTGCAGCACGCCTGAGTGAAGTGCTGCTGGCGTTGGTGTTGCTTGTACCCTCGCCACCGACTTCTCTGGCAGAAGAATGGGACCCCCCACCCCATTCATCACGGCCATTTTCCTGCGTGCAATCTGTGTGGATTGCTGACAAGCAGAGACCAAAGAAGTGCCGATCAGAAGCTTGTGAAGGCGGACAGACGGATCTCTATGCGCGAAGCTCTATCCTATGCCACCGCCCGATACGACACGACAACAGCAGCAAGCAGGCTTCACTTGGTGAGAGAGGGAGGGGAGGCATCGTGGGGACCGTCGATGGGATGCTAGAATACTTATCCTTTGCCTGCTAGTATGGGCGGGCATCGAACCTTCACAGCCTGTCAACAGTATGTCTCCACCACGACGGACCATTGATGCAGCCAAGCCTTTGGAACCCTATCCACCAGCACGAGCCGAAGCTATCTGATCCGAGCGCATGTGCTGGATTAGAATAACTGCTGATGAACAAGCCTGTCCTGTAGTCCCACCGAGACACATACCAACAACCCGAGGTCGGTTCAGAGAAGATGTGCCGGCACGTTCGAGCACAACAGACCGGCGCGGCTGGACCAAGTAGGCGTGTCACGTGTGGGACAATGCCACACGAGGCCCCCTGCATGATACCACTGCACACTTGCAAGGGCTTGCCTTGATCACACCATGCCTAGGGTAATGCTAGCAATAATGACACGATGAAGAATTCCCATCGCGGCGCGGGCATTATTGTTGAGTCGGCGTGTGTGTTCGGCCACACTGCCTCGAGTGTTGAGGCATCAACGCCGGGGAAAACTGCATTGAGAGAAAGGCAACGATTGTGGAAGCGTGCGTGCGCTGCCAGAATGTCATCTTCACCCATTCCCCGCGTTGCTACACAGCGTATGGAATAGACCACTGCCCTCGTCCATCACGCATATCAAGTCCGAGCTGCCGACGACTGAGTCAAGACGATGGGCAACTACGATGCTCGTCTTCCCCTGAAGATTCGTGCGCAAAATCTGCTGGACCCGGTGGTCTAATTCTGCGTCCATCGAAGCTGTAGCCTCGTCCAGCACCAAGATGGCAGCATCCTTCACCAGCGCTCGGGCAAGCGAGATCAGTGAACGTGGGCCAGATGAGAGATTCGCACCTTCCGATGTTATAGGCGGCGTATCAAGGTCGAGATGAAGGGTGGGTTTGGAGCTTTCGACACCTTTCTCGTCCAAAACAGTCAAATTCTCCTTGGAACTCTCGGAATCGGAGGATGTCATAGAAGACAGTCCAACTTGATGCACGACACGCCGCCATAGATCGGCATCGTCGTGTTCGCCAAATGGATCCAGATTGTATCTCAAGGTGCCGCTCAGCACAGCTGCCTCTTGTGGCATGAAAGCAATCTTATTGCGGAGCAGCTTCGAGCCAACACTGGTAGTGTTTATTCCATCGATTGAGATCCGGCTACTGACAACATCACCTATTCCGGTTAAGGCCGCAATTACAGTGCGTTTGCTAGAGCCTGTGCGGCTAACAAACGCAGCGCGACTGCCAGTAGGAATAGTTATCGTCTTGGGCTGGACTCGATACTGGTTCTAAGGCTGGCTAGGCTTGTGCGCGACAAAGCTGGAGTCAGACTGAGCCCAGTTGCTATCCTCCGTGCTCACTGCATTCAAACAGGGGCGAAGCTTATTGATGAACCTTCGCAGCGAGCTATGCAGCAACACGAGTCAAATGAATACACCAAGACTGTACGCAAACTATCTGAAATCTTGGTGAAGACACTCAACTGGAGTCTTTCTATCTTGCAACACCTATGCAGCAGGGCATGCTCAGCGCAGGATACTCAAACGTTACTGAGCGGAGATCTCCATATGTGTGCCAGCACCATTCGAGCTTCAAAAGCCCTTTCATCTGGACCTGAACATCTTGCAATCAGCCTGGAGCCAAGTCGTTCAGCAGACTGAGATTTTGCGCACCACCTTTCACTTCACTGGCGATAGCGAACAGCCGTGGCTGGGTGCCGTGCGGCATCGCGTGGACGATGTTATCAGGGTCGTTCATTCGATCGTGGAGGCCAAGAGCGCGCCTGTGCATGTTGACGTTTCCACTCATCTCGCTCAGTAATGACGACAGGTGAGTCTGTCTTGCTGATTTTCACGATGCATCATGCCAGCTACGATGCAACATTGCTGCCTCTTCTTTGGCATGCATTCAGGGAAGCGTGTCGAACGCAAGCAAAATCGATTCCAAAGCCAACGCTTTTCTCGCCTTTAGCTGAGCAGATAGCTGTACAACAGCCCAGCGCCTTTAATTACTGGGCGAAGCAGCTGCAAGGATAGACATACGAGCAACTGGTAGCCAACGAGCACGACCAGAAGCCCACACGAGCTCGATGGACTATTACCATACCTCCACACCAGCTCGAAGCCGTCCAGACCAGTTGTCGTAGCCTTGGTGTTACTCTTCAAGCTGCTCTGCTGCTCGCATGGAGTAAACGCCTCGCGGTCAACGTGCTTAGACAGTCCGATGTGGTCTTTGGTCAAGTCTTGAGCGGTCGGTCGCTCGAGGGCGCAGACTGTGTCATCGGCCCTACGCTGAATACTGTTGCAATGCGAGTACCACTTTCAACGGCTTTGTCGAATGCCCAGGCTCTACGCAAAGCTCAGACATTGTCTGAAGAAGCACAGCAACATCAGGTGGCTTCTCTATGGAAGGCGCAGAATGAATGGCGCTCGTCGACGGAGAGTGCTGCGACGGAATTGTTCGAGAGCCTATTCGTCTTCAACGGTGAGGCTTGTGGTGCTGCCGCTACATCCGATGCGAGCTTCTGGCAACGTACTTCGCTGGGACCTGCCAATGAAGATGACGGCTTTACAGAGGTAAGTAACTCCTTTCAGAGCTGCGATATGGCTTGGAGATTATGCTTACTTTTGCTTGCGTACATTATCTCTTGGTTGGTACCGTCGATGTGTCTTCGGATTCATGCGTCGAGTGCTTCTCTTGATGTCCGAGCAGTCCAAGACTTAGCGAAGGATTTCAAGCTCCAGCTCAAGGAGCTGCTAATATCCCCGGACGCTTCGAGTGTCTCTTCCTCTTGGCCATTGCAGAAGAAACCCTCGCCCTGCTCTTGACACACTGGTAAAACCGACGACAGCAAGCCAGACGACGAAATGGGCGAAGCAGACCAGAAATTGTGTAAAATCGTCCTGGATGCCACGCAGGCAATTCTTGACAAGGGCCCAATTGATGCTGATACGAACCTCTTCCGACTCGGCCTGGATTCGATTTTAGCCATCCGGTTATCTTCGAAGTTGAGACGCACAGAAGTACCACTCGCCGTGAACGACATCATGCAAGGCAAGACCATCGCGGAGATGGTAGCAAGAATGCGCCAGGCTCTGCAGCGAAAGGAACGGAAGCAGACATCAACAAAGCCTCGACCGAACTTGCTTGACAGTGAACAGGAAACTGCCGCTATTCAAGCATTAGGCTGAACTCCTAGCCAAGTAGAGTCCGTTTTGCCTAGTCTTTCTGGCCAACAAGAACATCTCGCCTACTGGATTCATGCTGGTCACCGATTCTTCAAGGCCCCATGGATATACAAATTGAAGACAAAGCCAGGAGGAGTCTCTGGGAGATTTAAATGCCCCATACTCGAAAGAATGTCGTGCCGCAAAAGCAGCAGGCATGCAACAGGGAGTTTTTGAGATGAAACAGGAGATGTGAAGGGTACATTCTTGATTGCAGCAAGCCCATACCATGATTTCTTCAATCCAATGCTATCGCTTCTACAAGAAAAAACCCAATCCACCCCAAATCAAGACAAGACTCAAATTTGAGTAGGCTTCCCGAACGCACACCCCTTCGTCACGTCCCCCCTACTCATCAAAATCAGACTCCTCGAAGAGCTTACCATCCAACAAGCTGCCCATCTGCGTCTTGGAGATGTTCTCTCCACTTCTCCGAATCTTCGACATGAGGATCTTGAAGAAGTTGACCGGGCTCTTCGTCAACCCGGACTCTCCACCAACCCGACCCTGCTCATCTCTCTCAATGAATCCGTTCGCATCCACCTGCCATCCCTGTTGACCCATCTCTTGCGTCAACGCCTTTGAGGAAAGACCAAGAAACTTGCACGTCTCCATGTAGTCGTCGTATGTGCTGATGTACAACTGCCCGGCGAATAGATTCAGCTGCACGGCCAATGCACGTGGCACGACCGGCGGTGCAGATTGCGCCGAGAATGTGCAAAAGTCCAGCTCGTCAAGAGGGCGGTAGCCAGAGTGGCAGCGGGGCTTGTACACATGCAGGGTAGTGGATTTCGTGTTCTTCATGTGCGGGAAGAGCCAGTTGGCCTCGTACGGGCTGACGACGAGAATGCGGTCGACATTGCTCGAGCCCTTCGAACAGCTGGTCAGCAGCCACTGGACGGGTCTCTGGAACGCATCTGAGATGTAGGAATTACCCGACTTGTCGACAGTTCGGGCAAAGTCCGCCGTGGCCATGAGATGACGTCCTCCAGCGAGCTGCGACAATGCAAACCCTAGGCCTTGGGCTGCACTAGAGTCAGACATTGCCTCGAAAGCAGGCATGTAAGCGTCGGATCCACGGGCGAATTGGCCAGTAGTGGCGAAAGAACGGACATCAGGGTGCAAGCTGTGCGGAGCTGGCTTCGCAGGTGGTGCTCTCTGGACTTGTCGCTCTGCCTCGATTTCAGGCGACAGCTCGCGCTCTTGCTCCTCTTGTAGCGTGCTGGAGTTGAATTGCAGGTCGTTGAACTCGCGGCAGCGATCAGCGATTCGCTGCAAACTCAGATCTGTGCTGTCACTCAAGTGGATCGGCTGGTCACTGGATTGGCGTGGACGGTAGCGGTCGTCCAATGTCTGAGCTTCTTCCTCCAGGAATTTCTCGGCGTGTGTCTTGGTCAAATCGGTCTTGCCGTTGCGACGCACAGCCTTCCATATTTTCTCCTGGCGGACAAAGCGCTCGCCTTGAACGGCCCAAAGGGGCATATTGCGGCGGACTTCCACGTGGGTCTCTTTCATGGACCAGAAGAGAACATCCTCCACCGTGATGTCGCTCGGCTCCGATTTCGAGGTGCACTCGAGGATCTTGGCTTGAATCTCCTCGGAAATTGCGAAGACAAGAGTTTGTCCCTTGGCCAATTTTCTCATACGCATGGCAGCTTGCACGAGACGGTCTTTGGTCAGATTGGCGCCCAGCGTAAGCGCCGCTCTGTATGTGGATGGTAGTTTCAAATCGATACCACGCGTATGCGCTTCGTCAAGAAAGACAAGGCATAAGTCCAGACGAGTTGCGAAAGACGACGTCTGCAGTAGATCAATTCGGCCATGTCGATCGACAACGCATAGCTCGTCAGAGTCATTGACGAAGACTGCGGCCTCTTTGGTCGTATTGTACTTCCGCAGCCACGTAGCTGCAACTTCTTGATTGTCGAGTTCCACAATCTGGGCACCAACGTCGAGGATAACCTCCACAGGTGGGTCAAGTTGACTGACCGTTGCCAAAAGGTTTGCTGCGTCTGACGAATCCTGCCCAGCACGTGCCATCAGCTGCACTGAGTTCTCCGGTTGGAGGATATTGTTGAGCACAAGAGCATTGGTATGCTTTTGCTGCTCGAGGTTCAGATGACCAACATCGAAAGGTAGCAGTGGTCGAGAGTCATTAGTACCGGAGAAGCCAGTAGTGACGCGGTTCTTTTTCTTGCCGATGTCCCAGCCAGAGGCGGAAAGTTTGTTAGGGAATTCTTTCATCTCCTTTGGGAAGACATGATGCGACAGGAAGTAGTCGACGACGTTCTTCCCGTACCGCAGGGCTGGGAACAACTCACAGACACACTGAGGCCGGTCTTTCAGATTGATACCTTGCAACTGCTTGAAAGCAGCGGGAAGGCCGTCGGAATCCTTCACCCACGCCTGGTATTCGATGTCTGCTTGATCAGAGTCCATCAGGTGTCCCAATGCGACGAAAAGATCATCATCACTGAGCCCATCGTAGTAGTAGCAAAGAGACGTGAGCGTGATGACAACGTCGGGATGGCTGAACTCGGACCTAGGCGATGGGCTGTCTTTCGCTCTGTATGGAACAGCCAGCTTGGTGGGGGGCTGGCGGGATGCAGGTCCATAGTTGACACGCCATCTCTTCTGCCCAAGAGTGAAGGCCAGAACGCCGCCAGCAATGATTCCTCGGAGCAAAAGGAGATGCGACTTGGTGGTCTCCGTCCAGAACACGCCGTTCTCCACGGCCTTGACCTCATCGCGACTCAGATCGAACTTGGTGATGTACGTGTAGACCGCTCTACGGACCTCGTCGGGCTGCCGCGAAATCTGGAAGCCACTCAGACCAAGATCACAGATACGCTGAGCCACTGCGTGCACAAGCGCTGCCTCGGCGTCTGGTCGAAGAATGCGAACCCTAGGGAAACTGCCCGCCACACTCGGGGCGACCTCCAAAGACAGAGGAAACTCTTGAGCTAAGATAGGAGCAAATTGCCTCACAAGATCCAGAAGTTGCTGCAAGAGGAGCCAGCGATGGGGGCTCAACTCGATCGAGCGTTGCAGACCCATCGTGTAGATAAGCTCGAATCGAACACTGAAATTTTCGTCGCTCTCGTCAACGATGTCTCGGGAGTACTCGTCGAGGAAGTCTTGTGTCTCCATAAGCGATTGGCCAACCGACTCCTTGCCGGTGATATAGCATTCTGGGGCCATAAGCTGCAGGGAGAGAATATGTTCTGGCTGGACGAGAAGGACGCCGCTATTGGACTTGCATTCCTTCAAAATGCTACCGACGGCGTCGGCGGCGGCACGGTCGAGCTTCAGGCACCGCGAAAAGGGCAGATGGTAGACGCGGCGGTCGACTAATCCTCCAAACTTGGAAACGAGCATCTGCGCCATCTGCTTGGACTGTGGCTTCGCGACAATCACCCTTACAAGCTGGTCGCCGTCTGCAAGAGCGGCTGCAACAATGGGAACAATGACGCTAGACTTCCCCTCGCCCATATTTAGCTGCATAACGGAGTTGTTGTTGGTCGAAGGCCGCCTCATATGGCCTGCAATCTCTTCTTGGACTTCGCGGATCATAATACCACTCTCGACTTCGATGAGCAGAGACTCGGGGTAATCCATCGCGCTCCAATTCTCATGGCCGGTGTTGCGGAGTTCGTTGGCAAGTTCTTCAGCGCGCCACGGGTTTGATAGTTGCACAAGTCGCTCTGCACGTTGCACTTCGGTGAGAGCGATGCCGTATTTGACGATGCACGACTTCCAACCAGGGGAAAGATCGGACCACCGATTGCGGGATAGCTGTCGAAGGAAAAGCAGTGGTGATACTCTCGGCCACTGATGATCTGTAGGGACATTCGAGGATATCGATGCCGGAGCAACCGAAGCGACGAGAAGGTCGTAGAGCTTCTTAGCATGGGCCTTGCAGTCATCCAAGTGTCTAGACAACGCCCGTGCATCTAAGTCCATGATGGCCAATTGTTCAGCATCACGGGACAAGAGAGCGTTCAAGCTGTCTTTGAGATCTGCAACGTAGTCTTTCCCGTACTTCGACTGTCCAGCCGACGTCTCCAAGCGCATAACCAGAGAGCTGAGAAGCGTCGGCTTTGCGGGACCAGGTGTCTGAGTTTGCGATGCCGAGAGTACCAACACTCGACAATTCTCGGGCAGCTGCGGCGGGGCTCCAGAGAACAAGTCAGCCTCCGAGGTATATCCTGGAAGAGCTGCGTGCGGTTGAGGGCTCTGGGTAGTAAGACCGGGGAGCTGCACAGGCTGGAGCTTGCAACCTGCGATGGTTTGGTCAATGCGAATAAGTTCGCTTTGAAGAAGACCGTTGTCATGCCAGACTTTGAATTTCCTGCCGACCGCGGCGATGACCTTGCCAACGTCGACGTACCGCGAAACGTCCAACGAAGGCTCAACCACAGTCTCTGCACGCCACTGATTGAACAGCGCATCGACAATCCGTGTAGATGCTGCATCAGCCGCGACCTGGCAAGCGTTGTTGCGGCGAGCAGCGTAGACATTCTGTCGTTCGTTCCAAAGGCGTGTAATATTGTATTCGGGGTAGGAATGGTACGGAAGGCGGTTATGATCGACAATCACCTTCAGGACAGCCTTATCGCAGACCACCCCGTCTTCTGGCGTGAAAGAATCGATCCTCGAAGTGCTGTCGCGGAAGGCGACGCTGAGCTTTGGCAGCATAGCAATAACCTGGAGGACCGGCACTTTTGCATCCTGGGAGAAGGCCATAGTCGATAGCCACATCATAATGGAGAAGTGGTTCTGCTGCACTTGCTGGGTAATGCTCATCCATCGAACCAGGGCTGGCAGCCGGGTGATGGCGAACTCATGTCCTTCCTCCAGCACGGTTGCGTCGTATCTCAATTTGTTGCGATTGATGGGCAGCTCATATCCGTGTATTTGGCTGTAATTGCACACCAGCTGCCAGAGTTGACCCGCCGTCTGCGGTTCCCAATGTACATGTGAGCTACTGCGCATAACGAGGCCTGCCATGAGAGCGGAGTTAGTTGATCGTTGAGAACGCCAACCCAGATCTCGTGCTTTGTAAGGCTTGTCATGCGCTGTTGTGTGGTCTTCCGCTCCAAATCCAGAGGTTCTGAACACGGATGACTTGATGCTATCTCGCTGCTGGAGGTGCTGGTCGACATTCGGGAGAAGAGGGGACTCGAGAGATGCTCCAGGGAACAGGAATTGAGATTTTTCTGCTTGGGTCAAGATCTTTCTGACATCTGTTTCCAACCGCCCGTGCTGCGATAGAAAGCTAAGATTGCTGTCCCAGTCAACTGTCTGCATGACACGTTCATGGGCGGGATAGTAGCATCGGCCTGGGCTCAAAGAAGCAATCTTCCCAAGCAAGTCCAGGTTCTCCTCGGTCAGTTGGTCGAATGACCTTACTGCCGCTGACTCCAGAATAGACAGTGCTTGTTCGGTCCCGGTCTTGCGCGTCAACGGATCTGGGAGACAGAAAGAGGTGAGCGCGTGGAGGTACGCTACGTACAATTTGCACATGAGTTCGCCATTGTCGAGCAGTCGGCCCAGATCGTTGATCTCCAGAGAGTGTACTTTGGCGGCTGTCTTCTTGGAAGCCGTAACGGAGACATGCGCATAGTGCTTGCTATAGGCGACGGTTGGTGAATGGAGAAGGAGGACGCGCCGCTTGCCGTCGTTGGATCTCAAGACGACCTTGTTCTTGAACCCAATGAGCGTCCCCAAGCACTGATCTTGATCGACCTCCATGGAGCGGAACTCTATGGACTGCAGAGAGGAACTTCCCTGATGGAGTACAAAGCCGTGTCGCAGATGTGGCATTTCGACATGAATGAGACGCTCCGACGGTGGCAAAACGATATGGATGTCTGAGCTGTCGGCCAATGGACTGAGAATTTGGCCGACCATTTTTGAGGTCCTGCTGCCGAGACCCAGGAGCGAGCTGCCATCTTTGGTGAGACGCCAGCCTGAGCGATCTTTTGACCGCCTCAATGTCCACAGAGCTGTGGAGTTGGCATTCCATGGGTCCTGTGCTGGGCGGAATTCCAAAACATCGGATTCAGAATGGTACCAATGGACGTAGTCCTCCACAAAACTAGACGGGAAGGTCTCTTGAAGAATTTCCTTTGGGAGGGTCTCGAACGTCGTATCTCCACGTTTAGCTTGGACGATGAGTTCCTCATGAGCAGCATTGGGCAGAGTGCCCATGCCGAGCTGAACTTCGTAGCCCTCAAATGCTCGCTTCGTCGAAAATTGGAAGCCAGCGGCTGATGCGGGCATGACCTCCACCAGCGCCTTGCCGAATATGATAGAGAACAAGGGTCTGTCTCGGTACTGTTTGGGCGGTTGGTCCAGAGGCAATCCATTCACGAGCAATTGCCCAGTAAGTAGATTGTAATGCACGCGCATGGTAGCACCTTGCGTCCGGGCCGTGTCTGTTGTGATCCAGTCATCGACCTTATTCGATACGATGTTCCAGCCGCCGGCTCCGGGAACGTAGCCCGACCACGACTTCTTGACAGCATCGTCCATCCCGGCAGCGTTCTTGGCGAGGAATCCGTAGCTGCGAAAAAGCAGTCGCTTGAATCGGAGGGCGAGTCGAGCAAGACGAGCGCCTTCTAGAGCGCTTTGGCAATGCTCACCCTCATGGATGACGATCGAAGCCTGCACAAGAATGGAGGCGTTCGATGACGACTTCAGGATACCCTCAAGGACCTTGTCGCCAACATCGTACGTTAACGCGCAGACCAAAGCCACCTCGACGGCCTTGTTGGCGAAAGCTGTCCGATCGACGTGATCTGTGGCTAGATGAGCTTTGTCACAAAGGGATTGCAGCCAGGAAGCTGTAATGTGACGAGCGGTCTCTAAGCACTTCAGAGATGCGCTTCTAGCATTCTTGTTGAGGGATAGAATGCGAGCGGCAATGGCAACGAAAGTGCTGAGAGCTTGTGCCGACTCCCAATTCTCCTTCACACGCTGGATAGCGAGGGAGAGCTGCTCGAGGATGAACAGGGCTTTATCGTCGTCATTGAAGATTGCGTGGGATTCTCGCAACACAGAGCGCACCACGCCAGGCGGACCGGCCTGGTAAATGCACTGGAGAATAACCAACGAAGTCTCCACCTTCTTGAAGTCCACACCGGGCATCGCCAATTGCAGAACGATGTTTGCCCACTGAATGTGATGGCCCAACGGCATCGTAGTGAGTTCGGTGAACTCGGCGAGTGTCATGCTCTCTGGGCAAGTATCCTGGGATGCAATGACGGTATTTGGGCCAACTCCATCGGGATTGGAAGCGGTGCGGAAAATGTACTTTTGTAACGCTGGGTGGGGCAGAGAATAAGTGCAGGCACGCGCGACTTCATCTCTGAAGACCAGTGGGCCAATATATCCGTCATTCGAGTTGTCATAGTATTGGTACTGCAGGCCATTGTTGACGCACAAATCGGATTCTCGGAGGCCAGCAATTGCCTTGCTGCGATAGTGGGTTACACACATCGGCTTGCTTTCCGAGAGAAGCCCAATCTTCCGGGATCCCGGCTGGAGGAAGTATTTACTGGTCAAATGAGGGTCATTTGAATTGAGTCGGTACTCAGCGCGAAGAGTGGCTTTGGGATGGGTGCCCTTGAGCACGTCTTGGAGCAGAAAGAATCTGCAACTCCTCCAGAAAGATAACCATGATGGCGCCTTCAGCTCAAATACCACAGCCTTCGACTCTACTGGATTTGCGGGAAGCGGCCACTCATGAACTCCAATAGCAAGACTGTTGCGCTCGTTTTCGTAGCGGCATTTGTCACATTTGTTCGTGACGTGTACCTCTTCGGTCTCTGGGGGGTCGCACCAGCTGTCAACAATCCTCGTCTCGTTGTAGTGTTCAGTGCGACTGCAGAGCGCATCAAGGCGGCGGTATTCGCTCATGGTACTTCGATATTCTTCCTTCTTCCGTCGACGAGCTTTCTCCGCTTCCGCCTCGATGACGGAGAAGAGGGACTTGTGCATGTCGGACTGATCGTAGTATTGTGCAGCAAATCCTTGGGCGTCTCTTGTGTCAAACAAAGACCTGGATGGTCGCATGCTGCTTCGTGACCGGTCGTTGATGTACGCCTCCACATCTGACATCCTCGCCATCTGCTCCAAATCTGGCAGTATCAGGCTTTGAAGAACCTGTACAGGAATGCCCGGGTCGTATTTCGTGAGAAGTGGACAGATGCGGACCGCAGCTTTGTCGCAAGCCACCCAGAGTTCAAAGATGACCAATATCATATTGGACTTGGCTTCTGGGTTATCGGCAGCATAGTAAGCGCAAGACAAACCATGATATCGGGACAAGAGCTCATCCAATTTCTCGCATGCGTCTGGTCTCTCGTAACCGTCCATGAAATGTTGTAGATGGCGAGCGACCCATTGTTCAAAAGACTGAAGACAGGCCGACGCGTAGTACGAATCACTCGCATTCGACGTCGGAAGGTGCGGGAAATCATCATGGGCGAATTTGATGAGCCCTGAAGAAGGCACGAAGTTGGATGGGCCGGTACTATGCTGCCGAGCTTTCAGGTGTTGAAGGTACTTCTCGAGCTTTGGAATGCCCGTGACATCATCTGTGTCGAAGTTGAGCGTGGTGAGGGCAGCTAGATTCAAGTCGCGTGCGTTGAGTGTTTGTTGTCTGTCCCAGGTTTGTGTGATGGCTCGGGCGGAACCTCGAACAATGCTCGAAACATCCTCGATGATGGCCCTGCCCACAAGATCGAGTGGCACCTGGGACAGTTTCTGAAGTCGGCGCTCGATTTTGGCGTTCATGATGTAGAGCATGTCGACGGGTGTCGCTTTTGCCGCGCGAAGGATGTGGCCCATGATGGACAGCATTACCAATTTGTAGAGTTTGTGAGAGCCCCCAGCCGATCTTGTAAGCACAAGCTGAAGAGTGACACGGATGAGTAGCCACATTGGAGACCTCCGCCAAGGCACCTTCGCGTTGTCAAAGAGTACCTCTTCTCGCGCTTTCTTCATGATAGAGTAAGCTGGATATGACTCGCCGATTCCTCTAAGCACGCTGAGAAAAAGCTCGGAGATCATGGCGGGAGAGTTTGTGTCGCGGTCCTCCTCGTGACTCTTCTGAGCCTTCTTGGAGCGAGGCTGCATTTCTCGTACTGTTTGGTGGCACATAGTAGAGAGCGTATGAGCGATCATTGACGGGAAATCCGTCTGATCCAACAAGCTGCAGTTTACAGCCACCGCGTTTGCTGGGAATGTGCGAATAAGTCGGCCTTTTGTTGCAATGACATCTTCATTGCGTGGTGAGAGCTCGAAGACCTCGAAGATCAGCTCATCCTCCTTCTTCGTAATGAGAACACCGGCGTTTTGGCGGCTGATTTTCATTGCCATAGTATGAGCGTTCGGCAGGCTAGTGAGGCCGCGATGAAGGGCCGTCTCATCCGTTCCACCACCAGTCAAGCTATTGACTTGCTTGATGCTGGACATCGCAGATATCGCGAGGCTAATGGCATTGGGTGGCGGTTGAGGCAACACCGTGTCGCGGAGAGTCGTCAAGGCATCCACGGTGGCGCGGATGAGAGGTATGTCGCTGGAGTCGTCTTCCTTTTGCGGAAGCTTTGGCGGTAGGAAGACATGGTCGATGATCCGCTGGATGTGCTCGTCTATTGGCGCCGCCATGGTGTACTGTAGCGAAATGCTCTTCGATGGAGTGTGCAAAGGACGATGACGCCGCGGCAAATTTGACTGCGTGCGTGGGCGTGCATGGGTTGCCACAACGCGCTAAAGGGTTAGCGCAAATTCTATTGAAGTGAAGCGAAACAACGTCTTGGGAGAGACAGCGTAGGACACGCTGCTGCGTCACCCGCGCGCTCCAGCCTAGGCCCCAGAACATCTCAGACGCGTCAAACGCCGCAAAATTGCGGACATCCGAAAATGTGATGCCGATCCCGTTCGGCGCGAATGAATGCTGGCGATGGATGTGCATTTGAGAGCGGAAACCGACGCCTAATATGCATGGACGACAGTTATCTGCACGTGTCCGTGTGACTAGAATCGGGAAGTGACATCTGAGACTGAGGGACCTGGAAGTGATCAGTGTGCTCGAGCCTCTAGGCATCACTTACTGGTGTGTGCTGAGCATCATGTCTGGGCACTCGTTCATTACACCGCACCAGAGTCTAGAGATGTTCTCAAGCATGTGAGTGGCTCATGGGATGCATCGAAATCACCTGGTGAGTATCTCATCTGAAGGGTATCATCTCAAGGATATCATCTGAAGCAGTCTTCCCACCGTCTTTCCGCAATGCGCCTCCCATCTTGCCCCGCATCTCTTTCGCCCAACGTGATATCCACAAACTCAGGCTCCATATGTTCGGCCGACAGTAACAGCACATACAGGAGGCGATCCTCTCTGCTGGATACCGAAGATCGCTGCCACAGGCACAGCGTTTGCTTCCCGGGACGGCGAGGCTGATGCAAAAGGAGCCGAAGCAAACGAGGGAGTCGGTACGAGCGGCGCGTGGACATGAGGCTTTCTTGAGCGAGAGACGGCCCAAGACAGCCGCCCCTCTACACACATCGGGGCGGCTACATTTGTTGACGTGGAGAACAAGCTGGGAGGCGCAGGCCAGATGGTCGAACAAGTCCATCTCCCATCGTGCTCCAGAATGGCGAGATCAAGCGAGTGGGAGCAACAAAGAGCCGTGTAACCCACAAGACAAGATCGACGGCCGCAAAAGGTTGATGGATGCGAACTGTCCTCAGCACGCTCATGGTTGCATCTCATTACAGGGAGGTATCTCGCGAAGTTGGACGAGGGGAGACATGAGGTCGGACAGTCACGTGACTATGATTCCATCTCATTACCCTGGGCAGCTCCCATCCGCTCTTTTCTGGCCTTAACTGTGCATGCGAGGCTGGCTTTGGCATTATATGCGACGGAATTGAGCACAGCTCCAAGGATGCACTCTGCAGTCACCCGCGATGAGGCCCTCGACATGCATTCGCCTTTGCTGCGCCGAAAAAAAAAACAGAGCTCCTCTCAGCATTGCCTCAATCATGGCGGCAATACATCAACATGATCAACATGAGCGGACGCACAGTGCTTAGCACACTCGAGGCGGGGTCTTGCTTTAGAAGTGTGAAGTCTCTTGGCTGATCACTCCTACGTTTGTGGCGCCATGGACAAAGGACTAGTGCTATGCCGTTCGTCCGCTGGGCACTATAAGGTCAAATGGACATGACGAACTCTTGACTGCCGCCCATCACGACTCCCACTTGACTTTCAATCCAAGATGCAGTTCTCTACCATCATCGGTGCGTTTATGAGCGCCTCTGTCGCTCTTGCATCGCCAACTCCTACCGTTGAGGAGCGTGGTGCTGCCTGCGGAACCGGAATCTCTCCTGCTCGATCCCAAGAGGTCGTTCGAGCATTTAGCAGCGCCGGTGTCACTCCAACTCTCATCCCATCGATCTCTCCAAAGAGCGACTTGAAGATCACCTACCCAAGCGCCAACATCAATCTTGGTACTCAAACCACGAGTCTTCGTAAGTGTTATGGCCGGCCGACTCATTGCCGCTCGAACAGCCACTGATGTAGTTTGGCAGAAACCGTACAGGCTCCAGCCTTCCAGTTCACAACACCAGTAGGCGACTCAGCGTCGCAGACCTACTCCCTCTTCCTCGTCGACCCAGACGTCCCAGGTCCTAACGGTCCACCAGTTGTAGGCAGCCCACGCATCAACTTCCTCCATTGGTACGTGTCCGGGATCAAGCAATGCGGAATCTCTGGCAACACTGTCACCATATACGAGCCTCCCACTCCAGTCTCACCAGGCGAGCAACACAGATACACTTGGTTGGTCTACCGTGAGCCAGCTGGTTACTCTCCCAACTTGCTCCAGGCGCAGGCCAGACCTGGATTCGATCTGCTTGGATACACCAGCCGTGGCAAGCTTGGACAACCCATTGCTGGCAACTTCATGAACCAGTCAATCACCAACACATAAGGCGGTTGATTCGGACAATTAGTGAATGCACATTTCTGAGCTGCACCCTTGGTGAATTATCATAATGTGTCCTCATGACCGACTGAACTTGATGTTGCTGACAATGAGCGGGACCTTCTACTGCATCCATTCAAGTCTACTAGTCTATCACGTCGACCTAAGTCCTTTACCGAGCGCAGTTCCAGCATCACTGTCTATCTAGACGCGTAGTATGAACCGGCAAGTAATCCGACTTGATAGTAACCAACAACACCTTGAATTTTGCTATACTACTGATTTGCTAACAAACTTTGGCTTCATAGCTGCTAGGAGCAGTATAGTAGTAGTTGCCCGGCTAGCGGGGCCTGCCGCGACGCGATTATCGCTTCTATACGCGATGTTGTATAGAATAGCCGATCTCGTAATCTCGGGTTATACTAGGGCTCGGGCGGGTAGCTATTACGTATAGCGCAGTGGATTACTTACGTAATACTGCATTACCGGCGGTTGAATTGGCTTCGTTAATTGCCTATGTCTTAGTCTATTCTATAGTCTAAAATATAGTATAAAAATTCTTTATACTAAGAGGTTACGTATCTGTTATATAATTAAGCTAACGCGTTATATACCCCCTTAGCTTATATAAAAGGGTTTTAGGCAAGGTAGTTAATGCTTCTTTATATACAAACAAAAGAAAATTAATCCTTTTAACTCCTTATATAGTACTTTATTAAAACACTAAAAAAAATAGTTTAAATCTATACTATATATAAGAGAGTCTTATTTCATACCCCGATTACCCTAGAAGGATATCGTTATATAATCTAGACTGCGTATGCACCTTTATATATAGTCCCTATTACTAGGAACTGTTATCTTCCTACGTAGTTAAAGTATAGACCGACACTATAAAGCCTTATATAAGAACTCGTAGCGTTAGTAAAGTTAGTTTAATTTAAACTAAGCCCTTTATACTATTACTATCGGTTATTAGATTAATCGTATAGGTAGCGTCTATTTAATTAGACGAAGGATTAAGTAAGGTATATATTAGTTAAACAGATTTAATAAATTAGGATAGGTAACTTAAACTAAGGACGCTACCCTTAGTTAAGACTACTATACTATTATCGCTAGCACTAATACAATCGCTATAGACTTGTTATTAGTTAGGGGAAGTAACGTTCGAAGTAATAATATAGGCAATAGTAACGTACCCCGTAAGGTAAGGTTTCCTATATCGTTACCTATACTATTCTTTTAGTCTATATTAGAAGGTAAGGTTAAATCCTTTGTTCTAATTAGTCGTCGTTATCGTGTTAGACACTTTTATTAGCGCTAATCGAGGAAGGTGTATTTAATCGACTTAGTAACAATTAGTAGATAGAGGGAGGCGCCTACTACGTATTATATAGAGTTGTCTTCGTATTACTAAAGAGGAAGAGGTTGTTAGTAGAAGAGTTGCCTCCTTATATACTATAAAGATTCCGGTATCGAGCTAATAGGATCGGTCTTCCTCGTTAGGGGTTGCGACGAGCCGAACTTTAGCCGACAGACCGGGGTCCGACGGCAGACCCCCGGCGGGCTACGTCGCTTAAGCCTATAGAGGCTACGTCGCTTACCCCTACTAGTAGGGATAAAAAAGGGCCTACAACCCTCCCCTTCCTTAGATTCTTTAAGATTATTCTAGTATTACGAATAGAGGCTATTATATTACTATACAACCTAATACTCGTCTTATATACCCTTACTTCTAACGATATCCTAATATAATAATCTTTAAACCTTTCTACTAAGGGTAGCGGTCCGATATGCCTCTAAAAAGAACAACTCGTATAGCGACCTAATAGCTAAGCGATAGGGGAACACTATCTACGGGCTCTACTAGCGACTTAGGCGAATCGTCTCTACTCTCGGAAGCTCCGAGTAGTCGAGAATAGTCGCTAGCGGATTAACTCTACGGTAGGGAATCGTAGGCCGATACTATAAGCGGAGCCCTCCTAGAAGGAACGCCTAGGATCGAGGAAGTCGAAGAAGACGACTTCGTAAGCGACGCTCGTATACTAATAGGTATAAAGGGAAGTAGCGACGACGACGACGAATAGCTAGCGGCCTAGTTTACGGACGTAAAGGTAGAGCAACGGAGGCTCCTACTAAAGAAGCTTACTCGCCTTAAGAAAGATAACGAAAAGCTTGCTAAGGAAATAGGCCGCTAGGCTAACCCTTCGAGGTCTACTACCTTAGAATCCGAAGCCGTCCCGTCCTCGTCGCGTCCCTCGCCGATACTATATACCGCCGGCAGACTCTATATAGATAGCCGTAAGCGGATAGCCTCCTTAACCGATTACGGGCTACTACCTAAGAGAACTATTAAGGATCCTTCGATATATAAGGGCAAAAGCCTAAAGGAGTACTATAAATAGTATATAGCGTACGAGATCGCTTTCCTCTAGGTACCGTATACCTACGACTCCGATCGGTCTAAGATTACCTACGCTATATAGTTCCTAGAGGGAACCTCTAGGGAACTATAGTAGAAATAGTAGCTCCGTAACGAGAAGCTACCGGAGCTCCTACGGGAATACCGTACCTAGCGACAGTTTACGGACTAGCTACTAGACGAGTTAGATAACCCGATCGCCCGTATACTCGACGTATACAAGAAGTATACTAAGACTAAGTAGCGCGAGGGTTAAAATTCTAGGAACTTTCTCCTCTATATAGAGACCCTAGAGGAATAGATCGAGCCTTATACTCCTAATTAACTTCTCTTCTATTACTTCTCCCGCCTACGGCCCGAACTACGTATCGCCGTTACGGACTATAACGTAATCCCTAAGGATAGGGAGGAGCTATACCGCCTAGCGACTACGCTTAAGAAGAACCTAGCTACGAAGGATAAGAAGCCCTAACGCTCTCGCCCGGCGTCGTCGCCGGCGAACCTAGATCGGGGAAGGTCTAAGCTAAGGGAAAAATCTAAGCCTAGAGAAAAGTCTAGGCTAAAAAGAGAAGATAGGGATAAGGGTAAAGATAAAGATCGATCGAGGGACTCTAAACCTCGCGCCCTAGCGACGAATAGTAAGGATAAGGAGATCCGATACTACTACTATAATAAGGTAGGACATATCCGACCCGATTGTCCTAAGAAAGATAAAGAAAAGAGCGGCAATCCTAATAAGTAATAGCTTAGCTACTCGGGAAAAGTATAGGCTTTGTCGTAGCCTCTTCGATAGCGGTAGGGCCTATCCTAGTATAATCGGAGGAAGCGATCGAAACAGTTAGCGAGGTACAAACTCCGTAAGGAGACCGCTAGCGGATCGCGGTTACTCTCGATACTAGCGTCTAAGTAACCCTCCTATAGTAGCGGCTCGTAGTAGAGTAGGAATTGCCTCGTACTAATATAGACCTCCTATACTTATAATAGTTAAAGGATTAGTAGATAACCTACTACGGTGCGTATAAGCTAGAGCTTAGCATAACCGATAGTAAGGGCTAGGCGAGAACCTATAAGGTCCTCGTATATAGTATAGACTAGAGCGGAGTCGAACTCCTACTCGGAAGGTATACCTTATAGTCTACCGGCATCGATATTTAGAATAGGCCGGGGACCTAGATATAGGGCTTTATAGCGTAGCAAATCGAATATATGTCGCTAAAGCGCCTAAAGAGAGAGATAAAGAAAGGAGCAACTATCTACTACGTAGGTTAGCTAGGACTAGGGGCCGACGGCGGTACGCTAGCGTTCCGAATCCTTAATATTACGCTAGGCACCGAACCAACCTTACCTAGCGCGCTCGAATTATATCGAGACGTTTTTAATAAAGACTCCGCGAGTATCCTCCCGTCCTTTAGGGAGACTAATTACGCGATTAAGTTAGTCGAAGGGAAAGAGCCTCCCTACGGGCTACTATATACCCTCTCTCCTCGAGAGCTAGAGGTCCTCCGAGAATACCTTACTAAGGAGCTTAAGACCGGCCGTATCGTATATAGTACGAGCCCCGCCGGCGCTCCGCTTCTATTCGTACCGAAGAAGGATAGAGGCCTACGCCTTTACGTAGATTATAGGGCATTAAACTCTGTTACGATTAAAGATAGGACTCTACTCCCTCTTATCGATAAGACGTTAGACCGACTAGTCGGAGCTAAGTACTTTACTACGTTAGACCTAAAGGACGCGTACTACCGCATCCGTATTCGAGAAGGTAACGAATAGAAGACTGCGTTCTATACGCGGTATAGCTACTTCGAATATCGCGTTATACCTTTTAGCCTAACTAACGCACTAGCTACGTTCTAGGCGTATATAAACCGCGCCCTAGCTAGCCTACTAGACGATGTATACGTAGTATATCTAGACGATATCCTAATCTATACCTATAGCGATAGCCTAGAAAGCTACTAGGCTGCCGTACGTAGAATCCTTAACCGCCTACGGGCCGCCGACTTGTTCTATAATATTAAGAAGTATACCTTCGCCGCTAAAGAGGTCGCGTTCCTAGGTTTCCGCGTTAACCGATAGGAGGTCGCTACCGACCTAGAGAAGGTATCTACTATTACGGAGTAGCCGATATCTAAGTCGATTTAGGAAGTGCAATCCTTTCTTAGATTTGCTAACTGCTACCGACGCTTTATCGATAGGTATTTAAAGGTAGTCGCCCTAATTACCGACCTCCTTAAAAAGGATATACCGTAGAATTAGGGAGCTAGATAGTAGGGCGCTTTTAAGCTACTAAAGGAGCGGTTTACGACCGTACTAGTACTACGACACTTCGACCTATTAAAGGACCTCTGCTTAGAAACCGACGCCTTAGATTTCGGGCTATTAGGCATCGTTTCCTAGCTTTAGAATAATAGCCTTTAGCATCCGGTAGCGTTTACCTCGAGGAAGATAATCGAGGCGGAACGGAACTACTAGACTTATAACTAAGAACTCCTCGCAATCGTGCATTACTTTAGGACTTAGCGTTACTACTTTAGTAGCCTAGCGAAACCCGTCTAGGTCTTTACTAACTATAACAATC